GCGACTCGAGGCTCGATGATCGATCGAGTTGTGAGGGGAGGATCGGGGCTCGATGTTAGCGGTCCGAGACTCGAGAGTCGATGACCGAGGCTTGCACGAAAGGTGGCACCCGCGTCACACCACGCGTGCCCGCGGGAGATCTGTGCAGGGGCGGCGCGCGCGCCCGCGGATGCATCGCGCGGTCGCGTTTTTTTTTTTTTTTTTTTTTTTTTTTTTTTTTTTTTTTTTTTTTTTTTTTTTTTTTTTTCTTCTCATCTCGCAGGCGGCACGAATGCCCGCGGGAATGGCATAGCGCGCTCGACTCGCAGGGGGGCGGCGTCCCGCGGTTGAGCGAAGGAGCGCTCTGTATGCGCTCGGGCGCAAGGAGCGCCCTTATCTATTATAGGCGCGCGCCTAGTGGCCGCCTCAGATCTGATTCTCGAGGTTCTTGATCTTCTCGGCCAAGTAGCTGATCATCTTATCCTGCGCGTCGATCTTCTTCTCAATCGTGCTCAGGTCCGTGTACAGGTCACTCAAGACAGCCTGCGCCTGGAACATCATGCGGTGGCGCCGTTGTGCACTGGGGTAGATCTCAGCCACGGCCTGCTGGCCATTGTCGTGCTGCGTGTCGGAGTGCTGGTCCTTGCCACTGCCCGTCTGATCATCGTCGCCCTGGCCATCGTACTGCTGAGCCACGGCACGGTTGCCACTGCCCTGGTCGCCGTTGTCATGCTGCACGCTGGGCTGAGCGCTGCCGTGGTGCGTGGCACCATCGTCGTGCTGGTCGTCCTGCTGCACGCTGTCCTGCTGCGCGCCATCGCCGTCCTGCTGCACGTTGTCCTGCTGCGCGCCGTCGCCGATCTGCTGCACGTTGTCCTGCTGCGCGCCGTCGCCGTCGCTGGGCTGCCCATGGGCGGACTTGCGCTGGGCCAGCATATTCTGCACAAGCTCGTAGTACCGCTCCTTGTCAGATGGAGACAACCGTTCCCAAATGGCGGGATCGATCCACCCAGTCTCTGCATCAATGCCGTCGACCCACATGTTGTCCACGAACGCCCGAGCGCCAGCGACGCCCCTGCACGCCAAGCTCGAGCGCTGCGCCATCGAGGCGGTCGGGGAGTAGGGCGCGCGGGGCGGCACTCGGGTCGGGCGCTCTGAAAGAGCGATCGAGGATTGCCTTCGAGAGAATCAGTTCTACGGACAGGGGGGGGGGTGCAATACAGAGCTGCTGATGCCTTCCCCCACATTCCCCCTCCCACGACCACCGCCGCCCCTCACAACCCCAGGCACGCGCATGTTGTTATCACTGTTACATCCTCCCCCAAGTTACACATGGGTTCCGTCGCTGACGGTCGTCGTTGAAACGTGATCCGCAGAACAGTACACCATAGCGCATAGCAGCGCACTTGCTCGTGCCGCAGAGTACCCGACGCAGCAGCCACACAAAAGTTCACGAGTGCACGACAGACGAATCAATGAATGCTCCGCGACACTTGCTGTCACGCAACATCCGATGCTGCAACCGAAGAGACCGAATGGCCTGCGCCGCTCGATCGTGCAGGAATCTCAGTCAGAGTCCTCGAAGACCACTGCATCTTCGATGGTGTACGTGATCTTATAACGTATCGAGCGTGTCATGTTTGTATTGGAAGGGCCGTCATCAGACTGCATCATGTTGAACGTGTTCCGAGCAGATTCGGGCATGTCGGCGATCGCAGAATACGTGCGCGTGATGCTCCGCTTGCGCCTGTCGTCAACCGAAGGGGCAGCCTCCGCGGGCTCCGACGACATCCCTTCGCCCGCGTGCGAGCCCGAGGAAGCGTCGCCTGCAGGCGCGTCGCGTGCAGGAGCGTCGCCTGCAAGAGCGGCGGCGCTGACGCCAGGCGGCGGAGATATCGGCGACCCTGGTGGACTCTCTGGAGGGTCGCCTGCAGGGGCGACGCCTGACATCTCGCGCGCGCGCGCACGCGGCTTGAGTCGGTAAGAGGCGCGAGCGCCGACACGCAATGCAAGTTAGAGCAACAAATGACCGCGGACGTAACGGGATATGCTGCGAGCAATGTCACCGATGCAATGCGTTGGTATGCACGTACATGCATTTGTATGCGTATATGCCTGTATTTGTGTATGTATATCCGCAACCGTGCCGCGCGGCACGGAGTGGGCGTGTCCTCAGGTCCCGTGTACAATCCTCCGAGCCTCGGTCCTCAGTAAGGGGACCATAACCACAATTTCCAATTCTCTCTGGCCTTCCCGCGGTTCTCCTGGGGCTTCTCGCAGCTTCCCGCGTGGCGTTTTCGGGCCCAAGCGGGCCTCACGACTGGCAACGAAGGCCCCGAGAGGCCCCGAATACACCCAATGAGCGCTCCAAGACGCTCAATATGGCCCCAATACGGGCCAATATGCCGCACAGACCGCCCAAGAGGCCCCTAAGGGCCCTCCCAATTCCTCACGCTGCGCGTATCCCCACCAGCCCATCCAGAAGCAACGCCCAGGCGAGTTGAGGTGATCAGGGACGTGCGGGAGCAAAGATGGGAGACAGCCGAACCGTGCGAATGAGGAATGAGGAGACGGGGGAGGCTGGATGGATAGATAAGGGAGTGGAGAGAAGGAAGATGAATAGGAGGAGGAGGAGGATGAGGAGGAGGAAGGAGGGGCAGAAGGATGATGATGAGGAGGAGAGCAAGCAAAAGGGCCAAAGGTCTTGTAGATGCCTTTCGGAGCCTCTTGGGATCTCTCTTGGGCGCTTCTTGGAGGCCTCTTGGGGCGCCTTGGGGGTCTCCTGGCGGTCCTGGGGGTCTCTTGGGCGCCTTGGGTGCATCGGAGAGGCCTATGGGGTCCTCTTGGGGGCATCGTTGGGGCCTCTTGGTGGCTTTTGGGGTGGCCTCCTGTGGCAATCTTGGGGGCCTCTTGGGGCCGCATGGGCGCTTCTTGGGGCAATCTTGGAGGAGATATATAGAAAAAGAGGGGAGCTTTCATTAGCGTTGCCCCTCTAGAGCCTTTAAAATCGCATTATGGGGCCCTCTTGGGGCGCTCTTGGAGCGCTCTTGGAGCGCTCTTGGGCGCTCTTGGGGCTGTCTTGGGGCTCTCTTGGGCCCCTCTTGGGGCCCTCTTGTGCCCTCTTGGAGCAATGTTGAGGTCTCGGATGGCCATCGGAAGCGAAAAGGAGAGAAGCAGAACATCATTGATTTTCCGTAGGTTGTTGAAGGATTTTGGCTTATTGGGGAGCATCCTTGGGGAGCTATTTGGCCTTTTGGAGCCGTATTGGGGCGGTCACGGGGCATCTTGGACCATCTTCGGAGCCATCGTGGGGCATCTGAAGCTGTATTGAGCAATCTTGGAGCTCATCTTGGGCTCTCCGAGGCGCTCTTGGAGCAATCCTGGGCCATCTTGGACGCTCCAACCCCTCGTGGAACGCCCCGTCCAGGTCCAGGGGAGGGGGTAGGGGGGAGGGGTAAACCCCTCCCCGAAGGGGAAGAAGGAAGTTGGAAGAGGAAACTCCTTAAACCACCTACGCCCAGAGGGTTGGTGGGATTAAGATTGCCCCGAGATGCTAAAATTGTTGAATTTCCATTGTGTGTTTCAATGAGCTTTGCTTTCGCACCTTTTCTGCTTCCCGACGCTCTGAGACGGCCCAATAGCACCCCCAAGACGGCCCCAAGAAGCCCTAACTAAGACAGCCCCAAGACGACCCAAGACGGCCCCCAATACGGCACAAGAGGGCTCCAAGACGGCCCAAGAGGGCTCAATGACGGCACCAAGAGGGGCCCAAGAGGGCGTCAAAACAATTAAAACAATCAAGTGGTTCGCCCCCAGAAACCCCAGGGGGCCCCAAGAGTGCCCCAAGATGCCCCCAGGCCCTCCAAGATGCCTCCAAGACGCCCCAAGCAGCCCCCAAGAAGCCACAAAAGACTATACCCCAAAACTGCCCCCAAGAGGCTTCAACACTGTCTTCCAGAGACCCCCGAAAGGCGTAACATGAGATCCAGACACACATACATTCGGCACCACTTGATGCATATTGCCGACGTGCCTCTAAAGGGAATTTGTTTGCTAACACATTAGGCATAATGACGACGCGCCTCAGGTGGTACCCGATCGGAACTACTTGAGGCATACAACGGGCGTGCCTCAAGTCGTACTTATTCGATACCACTTGAGGCATACTGCAGACATTCCCCCAGTGGCCCAGAATTTGAGATCGTCGCGCTTTCGGTCCGCCGCCGCTCCACGACGGCCCAAGAGCCTCCAACAACATCCAATGTCCACGAATCCAGGCACGGCGGCGGGATGGGCCGACGGCCACTAGATATACACGTATATTCAAATAAGGACTTATATATAATAGTTCACGCGCCAGGGCTGGTCGCCGCGGGTCCGCATCGAACAGTGCACGCGCCGCGGCTCGTCGCCGTGGCTCCGCCTCTGGACGCGGCTCGAAACAAGTGGTGCCGCCTGCATAACTCGCACATTCACGCACGAGAAAACAGCGAGTGTCATCACTCAAGTTCCCAATCATCAGTATGCGCGGAGATAAAAACAATGTGGATGTGTTAAGCTAACACAATGATAAGCACGATGCGCGAATATATACAGCGTCAAGGTATGGTGTGCAACGATAGAAACATATGTAAGGCAATATATGGCGCTCACAAGTATATGCGTGAATAAGGAAGCGCCACGATCGAGGGCGCGAAGATAAAAGCACCGCCGCCGTCACCAATTGACGCGGCGGCCCAGTTCCGGAACCGCGCCCCCGCGGGCCAAGTCGCACCCCCCGTCTTAATATCGGTTCATTGGTTTAGGCAAATATTGTTATAATATTGATAACAACGTTACCCTGTAGCCATATTTTGGCTCAAGACGGGGCCATGGCCGAGCCTCCCCGCCCGTCGCAGAGGGCCAGGCCGTCATCGGCCGCGTCCACGGCTCGCCCGCGGGAGCCCCAGCGCGCGGTCCCGCGCCCGACGGCGAGCCCATGCGCAGCAGGAGAGCCCGCCTCGCCCCAGCAGGAGCCCCCGATGGTCACCATCACAAAGGAGGAGTACGACAGGCTGCACGCCGTGGCAGCCAGCAGCGGGATCAGGGAGCATCAGGAGCCCGCACCGCGCCTGCTGGCTGGCCCCAAGTGGGGCTGGCGCCATCGCCCCGCCGACGCCGTGGACAGCGCCGCCCCGCCCGCCTGCGCCCCGTGGCCGAAGGCGAAGCCGATGCCAGGTCGACGGACTGGAGGCGGCCAGAGTGGCACGGCCAGTGCCGCGGCGACAGCAGACAGTTTTGTGGCGACACCACCGAAGCCGAAGTGGGCTAGTGGAGGTGGCCGTGAGGACAGCAAGCCGACGGAGGAGCACGACACGGGCGCCGCAGCCGAGTACTGCGAGTACGGCGGGGTGGCGGCGCAGCCGAGTACTGCGAGTACGACTGGCGACTGTGGCGGCGAGGTCGAGCCGAACGTTGGCGACGCTGTCGAAGGCAGTGGCGGCGAGTACAGCAGTGGCGACGGTGGCGTGCACAGCAGTGGCGGCGAGTACAGCAGTGGCGGCGAGTACAGCAGTGGCGGCAGTGGCGCAGCGAGTACAGCAGTGTACGACACGTGCGAGCACAGCGGCGAGTACAGCAGCGGGGCGCTCACGGCTGGGGCGCGGGCGACACGGCCCACGGGCGCCGAGTACGACGACCACGGCTGGGACGAGGGCGGCACATCCCACAAGCGCCGTCGTCAGCACAGCATGGACGACGATGCCAAGGTGCCGTGGCTCAACAGCAGCTCAGCAAGGTGGAGGAGTTGCTCAGCGATGCTGGCGTCATCGTCATGAAGGCGGTGCAGCACGCAGGCGAGGAGCACGTGGCCCCAGTGCTGCTGGAAGACGAAGTGTCGGGGATTCCACCTACCGTTCGGACGGAGAAGATGAAGCGAGGTGGACGACACGTCAGGATCGCGAGGCTCATGGCCAAGCATGTTGCCAATGGTGGCGACCTGAATGCAGTGAGACAGTCGGCCGACCGCAACGTGCACAAGTACATCGAGTGGTTGTTCCAGAATCACTGGAATGAGTTCGAAGAATTCGGCTCAGCACAGGTTGTGTGGGACTGCCTTCGCTGGGGCGCTTCTTGAAACCCTTGTGCCTCTCTCATCCTTGCCTCCCGCCGTCGACGCCGCCCTCGTCCTTGGCATCGCCATCGTCGTCGTCATTGGCGGTCGCGCGTAAGCTGCCCGCGTAAGGTCGCGCGGGGGCGCACTCGTTTGCACGCGGCGTGTCGCGTCGACTGTTTGCGGATGCCATCGCGTGAGGTCGCGCGCCGTCGTCTGCTCAACATCGCGTCGTCGTCGGCGGCGGCGGCGTCGTCGTCGCTCGTCGGCAACGCCCCCCCCCACTCGCCGTCGCCGCCGTCGTCGTCGTCGCCGTCGTCGGTGGCGTCGTCTGCGTCGTCGTCGTCGTCGCCGCCATCGCCGTCGTCGCCACCCCCATCTCCCAGAACAGCCCCTCAGACCCGTCCAGGAGTCCAGCCACACAAGAGTTCCCGAGCCGTTCCCAGCTGTGGTGACGAGGCCCACCCGACGGCCAGAACACCTCGAGCATCGGTCCGATTGGACTCGCGAAACCACCCTGGAGGGGCGGGGGCATGGCCGATGACATGAACCGAACCACGATCCTCGAGGATCGCAGGGCGATCAAATCCAGATGTCGATCTGCAAATCTGCAGATCGACATCGATGTCGATCTGCAGATTTGCAGATCGACATTTGCATCAATACTAAAACCAACACAATGCAAATGTCGATCTGCAAATCTGCAGATCGACATCGATGTCGATCTGCAAATCTGCAGATCGACATCGATGTCGATCTGCAGATTTGCAGATCGACATCTGGAGGCAACTGGTTCGGTACGTGCTGGCACACGCGCATCTGGTCATGTTTGGCGCTCTCGCGCATCGTTCTGTCATCAGTTTCAGCGTCCCATCGCACTCGCATCTCGCCTCTCGCACTGCCCCTCATCGCACATCCTTCATCGCATCATGAGTGTTGTGGGCTGCGCCCTGACCGCCGTCACGGGGCCCCAGGTGTGCCCCGCGGGGGGGGGGGTATGTGTCAACCATCCGATATATCACCTCTCGAAACGCTCCATCAATGGTCCCGAATTGCCCCCGAGCTACCCATATTGGCGTAAAACGCAGCCGCCACCCCCAATGGCCGTGCGCTGCTTCCGCGGTGGCCGTGTCAGTGACAACTGCGTGCGTGGTGTGACGTGCCGTGTAGTGCCGTGCGCGTGCAAACGTTTGGTGGGGATGTCTCGGGCGTCGTGGGATGCCTTGAGTGCGTTAGGGGCGTCTTGGGGCGCCTTGGACATCTTGGGCGTCTTGGGGCGTCTTGGGGCGTCTTGGGCGTCTTGGGGCGTCTTGGGGCGTATTCGTGGACGTATTGGGGCGTCTTGGGGCGTCATGGGGGCGTCTTGGGCGTCTTTGGCGTCTTGGGCATGCTAGTATCGATGACAGCTCGTAAGCTCGACAAAGCTTGGGGCGTCTTGGTCGCCCACAGTCCGTATCCATTTTGGCTCGAGCCGAGCGTGGCTGTTACGCCATGTCTCGGCGCGACTACGCGCCCGCCGCGTGCCCCCCGTGCCGCGCATCTTTGCGCGCGGCGGCACGCCTGGTCGCGGCGATGGCCACATACTTGGTGGTGGTTCCGCCTAACGTGGCGGTGCAGCATCACGTGCCACTAGGCGCGTACGTGGCGGTGCAGCCTAACGTGGTATTGCAGCCTCCCGTGGCGGTGATGCAGTCTAACGCGGCGGTGCAGCAGCCTAACGTGGCGGTGCAGCAGCCTAACGTGGCGGTGCAGCATCACGTGCCACTAGGCGCGTACGTGGCGGTGCAGCCTACGGCGACGGCGGGCCCCAGCTCGGCGCCAGCGCCAGGCGCGTACGTCGTGCAGCCTCCTGCTGCTGAGGGCGACGTGTGCACGGCAAAGCGGCAGAAGCACGGCGCGGACAGCAGCTGGCGCTGGCAGCGCCACAGCCACTACGGCACGTACACCGAGGGCAGCGACAACGAGGACGAGTACCCGCGCGGCGAGCGCGGCTGGAGGATTTCGGACGAGAAGTGGGAGCGCGAGGACGAGCGGCAGCCTGGCGAGTACGGCAGTGGCGGCGAGTACAGCAGTGGCGACGGTGGCGTGCACAGCAGTGGCGGCGAGTACGGCAGTGGCGCGCACGGCCGTGACGACGGTGGCGACTATGGCACGGCCGACGAGGACGCGCACGGCGCGGTCGACTCCAATAAGTGGCCATGGTACGCACAGGCAGCCTTCAAGCGGGCTCGGGGCGGTGGCCGCAAGACGCATGCTACGGCGGACTACTACGATCGCGAGAAGGGCTCGGGCCACGGCGGCCGTGGCGCGGGCAGAGGCGGCAGCTACCAGGCCGCAGACAAGCGCGACGCCAGCTCCTACCATGCCAGTCGCGCGCACACAGGCCACTGGCGAGATGGCGCGGCTGACGGCTGGTGGGACACGGACAAGGACGGCTGGAAGAACAATGACGGCTGGAAGGACACGGACAAGGACGGCTGGTGGGACAAGAGCACGTACGGCTCGAACGCCAGGGGCACTGACGACAGGACGCCCACGGACGAGGCGAATGGCGCAAAGTATTGGGACAAGGACTACTGGATTGCAAAGGACAATGGCGGTGGGAATGGCAGGCGCACGTACGGCTCGAAGGCCAAGGGCACTGGCGGCAGTACGCCCACAGACGAGGCTAACGGCAAGAGCACCAAGGACAACAAGAAGACAGGCTCGGCTGCCAGATCGAGGGGCACGGGTTCAACAGGCTCGGGCGGCAGCAGCACGCACCTGACGGGCAAGGGCGGGACCACGGGCGCGACGTGCACGGTCGCGAAGAACAATATCGCCGTGGATATCGACGTCGAGGCCAAGAAGATCGAGCACAAGCTGGAGGAGCTCAACATCGTTGCCTTCCGCGACTTGGACTTTTACGACTCCACGCTGAACGGCTCCGCCGCCGTCGCCGTCGCCGACGAGCTGGATGCGATGATGTCTATGGAGGACGACCTGGACGTGGGCGCGCTGGACCAGGTGAGGCGGGTCACTGGCGCGTGCCATCATCACCGCCGAGGTGTGTCCATGACCCGTATGAGGTGAGATAGGGCGGGAACGACGATACTGACGATGACGAGGATGACTACGACGTTGTGGGCAGGGTGGGGGAGGGGGTGACGATATGGGACGCTGGCGCGGATGATGATGCCGATGACGGCTGTGGTGAGTGGGGGGAGGGGGGGGGATTCGGGGGTAAGGATGGCGGCGAGGGGAACTACGGGTTGTGGCATGCACCTTGGCGGTGGCGGGGGCGCGTCGCACCGCGACCTTTATAGGTCGTGAAGGACTACGGGTGCTTCGGCAGGGACCGCCACGCCAGGCTCGCGCGGATCATGGCCAGGCACGTGGCCGCGGGCGGCGAGATCCATGAGCTGTACGACGCGGCCGACGACGAGATGGTAGCCTACCTCGAGTGGAGCTTCTACAAGTTCTGGGGCCAGTTCACGGATGCGGGTGGCGGGCACGCCTGGCGCATTTTCACGCTCTGCCGCGCGAGCAGCGCGGCTACTGCTTGAGAAAAAACCGTCAATCAAATCATTTGCGCGCTTGTGCATTGAGTTGCATTGCACTGTCAACATCAAACACCAAAACCAACAGCACACACACACCAACAACACACCATGATTTGCATTGAGTTGAATTGCATGCGATTGCCGATAGCATGATTGCATGATACAACCATAATAGCACCAACAAATACACTCACCAGCCAACACGTGAGTTGCACTGAGTTGCACTGCGTTGCTTCGGCGCACGGCGCCAGCTTCACGCGCGCGCGGCGCCGACCATGATAGCTGCACTGCGCCCGAGCTGATACAACCGCGCACGTTCTACTTCATAGCTTCCCCCATAGTGTGATAGTCGGCGCCTTGCACCGCGCGCCACGCATACATGTAATAGTTGGTGCTGCGCAGCAGAATCTAGCTTACGCGTGCAAGGTCGCAGGGTTTCATGACCTGGCTAATCTTGAGGGCATGCGAGGGTCGTGCGATTCTGTTTGGTTCCAGTCGTGACTGCGCGCGCGCATTTCAGAATTGCCTGATTGGGATCACGCACGCCCACAGATGCCGCGTGCCATGCCAAATTTGCCGCACGAGTACGTGGTAACGTACATTGTGCCCACGCCAATCCAGGGCCCTCTAGCTAAACCCCCTGAATCGCGGGCATGACGCACCTGCCTCTCGCCTCCCCCCCACCCTCAATCCGCAGCCCCCCATGTTAGTATCCCTTCTCACCGTCCTCATCCCTACTCGTCTGTGGGGCCTTATGTATGGTGGAGTTTGCTGCGCTGCATGCGTTGCACTTGCAGGGAGAACCATAGGGGGTGGTGAGGAACCATGGGGCATAGGGCAGAACGCGGGCGGGGGCGGCACGCGGTGGTGCGATGGGCGAGGGCACGGGGGGGCATGGTGCGACCGCGCACAGCCGTCTCGCCCGAGACACATCGGGACTGCGCGACTGCTATCATGACACACAGCCGTCTCGCCCGAGACACCGTCACGCGCGCGACTGCGACTGCTATCATGCCGCCGCAGCATCCGTTTGAACCGCCGCCTAATTACTCGCCGCGGCATGGGGGCAACCGCCCGCCGCCATTTCAACGACCGCCCGCCCATCCTCCAATCCAGATTCATCCGCGTCCGAAAGCCAGAGCGCCGTCGCCCGCGATCCTGCAGCTGCGACCGAAAGCGAACCCCGCTTCGCGGGATTCCGCTGCATGGCATGCCTCAGATGCTTCGGCGGCGACCGAGGTCGCGCAGGCAGCGGCGTCGGCGGCCGATACCTCGGCAGGGCCCGATGCCGCGGAGGCAGATGCCGTGGGCGAGCCGAGCCCATCCTCAAGCGATGCCGAGCTTGACGAGCTGCGGATGAGGCTTGACGATCTCGCCATGGAGGAGGAGACTGCGGTCGCGGCCTGGCGCAGGGTTGCGGCGGCCCGTGCTCGGTTTGAGGTCGCCGACACTGGCGGGCCTTGGAGGCAGCTTGGATCGAGC